GGGAGCAGAGAAGTCATGAGCCTGATTGTGATTTCAGACTTGTGATTGGAACAGAGCCTTGAGCAGGCAGCTGTGTAATATACAGATTTGGACTTCAGCCATCTGGGGCTGATACTAAAGAGTCAGAGGACTGAGGTGCTCCAGGAGGGAACTATAAATAGATCCCCAGGATAAAATGAGGCAGGGAGATGAAACTTAGGCCTTCATACTTTTTTCCCTTCCTCCCTCTTTCTGTCATCCCTTCTCTTCTTTTGTTAGGGGTGTATTTAATTTGGACCAGTTGATTTATTCTAAGTTATTGTTGAACAAACAAAGCAGGCAGTGGTCTGGAAATGGGGACATTGCTTTGTTCAGTGGACAAAGGATACATTTTGCCCTGGGAGAGGTCAACTGTGTTTCAGAGTACTTTGAAAATCTCGGAGTGATGCACTAGTTATAATACATCATTCTTGCCTGGCCATAGAAGCAAGATTTCTAAGAACTTCTGTCAAACATTTTATTAGCCTAGTTCAGATTACCATGTCTACTTGAAAGTGGTATATTTATCTCTTTTAGCATTTGGAGCTGCTTTTACATTTTCTTTTGATTCATAGACATTTATGACTTTTCTGTCCTGTGTTCCCAAATTTGGGTATACTCTGATCGTAGGCTCATTTTCATCATGTATAGAGTACCTACTAGTTCTCAAGGGATTGAATTGGCCCCCCTTCTGTCCTTAGACCAACTTGAGTATTTTTTTTTAATTTCCTTTGACAAGGGGGCATCACTGACATCTAGTGGGTATGGGTGAAGTTGTCCAAGTCTTAGGTCAGTCCTTTATATCATGTTGTCAGTTTCACCCCCAGTATTGAGGAACATAGATAGAACAAGTCTGATTGGTGTGATCATGTTCCATGTTCCATACCAAACCTGAACAAAAGTTGAAGTTTTCAATAATTGCGAAGCACTTTCTGGGGTACTTCATGGGTTACCTTTGACTTTGATTAATAAAGAGTTCAGACTTTTTCAGAGCTTTTGTTGAACATTTTCTATAACTTTTTGGTGACTTGAGTATATTTAGTATGGAGATGGTAGGGGGTTTCTTTCTTTCTTTTTTTTCTTCTTCGTGTGCTAGGTATTGAACCCAAGGCTTCATACTTGCTAACCATGCACTCACTGTACCATGGAGGTACACTCCTAGCTTTTCTTTTTCTTTTTTTGTATAGAATGGTTTAGATTAGCTATTCTCAGTCATGGCTACATATTGGGATTTTCCAGGGAGCTTTGAAAAATACTGGTGTTGGGCTGGGGTTGTGGCTCAGTGGTAGAGTGCTTGCCTATCATGTACAAGGTACTGGGTTTGATCCTCAGCACCACATAAATGTAGCATAAGATATTGTGTCCACCTAAAACCTAAGAATAAATAATTTAAAAAAATACTGGTGTGACTGGGTTTTATTCAATTGTTCTAGTATGTGATATTGGAATTTTAATCCCCCAGGTGGTTGTAATGCACAGGTAGGATTGAAAATTACTAATCTAGATATTCTAGAAATTCTGCAAAGATAGAGTGATATGGATGTAGATGATGAATTCATCAAAATGAAATAACTTTTCATTTATGCACAAAACATTGAGTGCCTAGGATTAAAATGATTAAGCAAACCCACTCCGAGCCTAGTGGAACTCATACCTTTGGCTTTCAGTTTTCACTTTAAAGCCCTGATTCTGGAAAAGACGTACTGGAGAGTTGGTTCAGCCATAACACCTCTTTTTAGAGTCTTCCCCAAGGTCTGGGAACATCTGGTTGACAGGGCATGACCCAAGTTGGAAGGAAGTTGAATCTGAAATGAGGTAGACATTGAACAAAATGGCAAGTTCCCCATAGTGCCCTTCAGACACCTTCCTGGAAGACGCAACACTAAGACACCAATAGGGACCGGGCAGCTTCAAAAATGCACTGGGTATGTGGTGAATGAAGAACTTTTTGTCAGAAATACATTGAGATTTGGCCAGTTTTTACTGAACTGAGAATGAGGAGTATAAGTGTAGAAACAAGTAACTCTTTAATTAGCTTTCTTTTGTACCACTTTGTCTTCAGTTTGAAACCTGGCTGGAAGACTTCCTTTAGCTCACTCAATGGTCCCTTTCTAGTAATTGTGCCAGTGAGAAAAAGGGGATGGCTGCCATGCTGGGCTTGGCCAGCATTCAAGGCCTTTGCATGGATCAAAGGCATCCCCTTTCTCTGGCCTAAGGGATGGAATCCTCTCCCCAAGTCTACCCCTAGGACAGGCTCCTTGTCAACTTCACAGCCTGCTAAGTCCCATGCGGGGTGGTCTTGCCTGGATTTTCCCTTTCACCAGTAGGGGGATTTGTGTTCTGTTTGGTAATTCGTAATGTGCCAACACAACCCAGTCTTGAGGCCATTTACCAGGAGGGATGATTTGTTTTATACACTTCCAAAACAGAAAACATCTGGTTTAGCTGGGGAGTGATCACATAATTACACAGTAGCTTTCACATTTAGGGTAATTCTACTGGGCTAGGTGTACTTTTTCTTGCTGCCCTATACTCAGCTCAGACACCTATATGGTAGGTTGGCTTACCAGTCTTCAGTGACAACACAAACCAAAATGAACATGTTTATTTCATTTTATCAAGTTTGAAAGAGGTTTTTTTTTTTTTTTAAATTTTATTTTATTTTATTTTTTTAGGAAAGTGAAATTCAGTCTTAAATGCTGCATTCTGGAGATATAATTCAGACCTTCCCTTTTAATTTCCTGAAACCAATTTCAGAAGAGCTAAGTGAGCTAGATTATTTTCTGCCAAATGAGTTTCCCAAAGGCACAGTTTTGCTAGAAATGAATGAGAATTCAATGATTCATTGGACCACCACTCATGTGTAGATGCTTAAGTTGTGATGGGTAGGAGATATGAATTCTGTGCTGACAGTCTATCCGTGATGTGGGGTCTTTTTCCTGAAAGTGGCCTCAGTTCGTTTGTTTTGACTATTATACCATTTGCTCCTCTTTCTTCCTGTGTCTTCTCCTTTTCTGTCTTTCGTAAAGACATTTGTCACCCACCATCCTGACACTATCTGGCCCTACCCCAGGCTGCTCCTCTCTATGGTTTTAGCTATGTTCTGGCTTTGGTACTGTATTCTGAGAGGAGGAAACTCCTAGATCTCAGGGTGTGTAAAGTTCCTCTGCATTCTCTCTCCTTCCTGTCAAACAATTGCTGGTGCTGCACAGGTCTCAGGGTTGTGAGCCGGTTACCCACTCCTGTTTTGGGGAGCTTGGGAGGCATATTCTGTTATCTAGTTTTAAATGTTTGTGATTTTTGGTTTTGCTATCCTAATTGCTATCTTTGGCAATTCAGAAGATTTAATAATTATGGTTTCACTACTATTTTTGCTATTATTTGTTGAACAAAGTTGAAATACAGATTTTTGAGCTGGGTGTGGTGGTGCACTCCTGTAAACCCAGCTACTTGGGAGGCTGAGATGGGAGGAATGTGAATTTGAGGCCACTCCAGGCAATATAGTGAGACCCTGTCTTAAGAAAAAGACAAACAATTTTTAGTACATATAGAGTTTGCTTAGAGCTGCTATAACAAAGTACTGTAAATTCAATGGCTTAAAACAACAGAAATTTTTTCTTTCAGTTCTGGAGGCCAGAAATTGGAGATCAAGGTGTGGGGCAGGGCCATGCTTTTCCTGAAGGTCCTAGGGGAGAATCCTTTTTAGCATCTTCTTACTTCTTATGGCTCCTGGCTTTCCTGGACTGTGGCCTTTATCACTGCAATCTCTGCTTCCTCTTCATATCGCCTGCCTTCCTTTTCCCCTGTCTTCTCTTCTGTCTCTTGGCACAGAGCTCTACTTTGGGGGACAGGGTGTGAAATGGGGCAGGGTTGGAGGGAGTGAATACCTACAACCCAGCAGTCTATCCCATATGGAATTGTTCAGTGTTTACTGTTCAGAACTATATTAGTGAGCATAACAGTTTCATTTCTGTTTTTCAGTTATATAAGCAACACCTGGGAAATAAAATTGGAAAATTTCAAGTCATTGATAATACCCATCAACAGCAGATGGGCATCCTCTTTCTGGCTATGTTTCCTTATTAATTCATTTAACCTGAAGTGGGATCTCCTCTCTATATTTGATTTCTGGTTATGCTGAATATTTTGTTATGCTATCTCTAGTTAGGTTGAATATCTTTCTGTATCCTTGACAAAGTTCTTGGTGGTCATCTTTTGTGATCTTAGGTAACCAGGCATTCCGTGTAGCCTTTCCTCACAGGGTGGAGAACATTTCTAGTTCTTAACACAGGGATTAAGAGATGCTGACAATTCTCTTTTCTTTCTTTTCACTATCTCTCTTTCTTTTTTGTGGTACTGAGATTTGAATCTAGGGCCTTACACACTGAACTATATCCTCAACCTTTTTTTTTTAACCTTTATTTTATTTATTTTTATGTGGTGCTGAGAATATAACCCAGTGCCTCACATCTGCTAGGCAAGCACTCTACCACTGAGCTACAACCCCAGCCCCATACCCTTTTTATTATTTTGTTTTATTTCTTTGGTACTAAGGATTGAACCCAGAGGTGCTTAACCACTGAGCTACATTCCCAGCCCATTTTTAATTTTTCCTTTTGAGACAGGGTCTTCCAAGTTGTTTAGGCCTCACTAAATTACTGAGGCTGCCCTCCAACTTGCAGTCCTTCTGCCTTGTATCCTGAGTAGCTGAGATTACAAGTGTGTGCTACCATGCCTGACTGTTCAGATTTCTTGTCAGGTTCAGTCATCAAAACATGTATCATTAGCTTTTCTTCTGAATGTTTCTTTTTTTTTTTAAATATATATATTTTTAAGTTGTTGATAGACCTTTATTTATTTATGTGTGGTGCTGAGAATCGAACCCAGTGCCTTACACATGCCAGGCAAGTGCGCTACCGCTGAGCCATAGCTCCAGCCTCCTGAATTTTTTTTCTTACCATTTTCTTTCCTTTGTCTTACAGCTGATGGTGAGACCATTTTAAAAGGCCTCCAGTCCATTTTCCAGGAGCAGGGGATGGCAGAATCGGTGCACACCTGGCAGGATCATGGCTATTTAGCAACCTACACAAACAAAAATGGCAGGTGAGCAGCCTCAAGGGCTCTTATTTCAGATTAGAACTTTTAAGGAAGAATAAAGATAGGAACAAAGTGGGGGCTGGGGGTGGTATCCCTTGACATCTTGTAGAGGGACTAGAATTCATTGCTTCTCAACCAAGCCTGTACATCAGAATCTCCTGGGAGAGTCTTTACAAAATACCCCTGCCCAAGCATTTCCTGCAGAGATTGAGGCCACTCGGCCTGGACATATTTGTTTCTTTAAATCCCCAGTGATTCTTCTTTTTAAAAAATATTTTTAGTTGTAGATGGACACAGTACTTTTATTTTCATGCAGTGCTAAGGATCAACCCAGTGCCTCACATGTACTAGGCAAATGCTCTACCATTGAGCCATAAACCCAGCCCATTTCCAGTGATTCTATTCTGTGTTAGGACCAATAACCCCTAGCAGCATAAGCAGAGTGAAGTGGCAGGCAGTGATCTGGAGTTGGTTAAAACATATTCTTGGGTCCCCTCTGCAAAACTTTGTCTATAAGTTGCTTGACAGGAAGCTGAGATGATCCAAGAGTTCATATCTTTGGTGGTGGTATAGATTTTTAGATTTTATATACTGTATAGATTAGTAATAACCTATTTTCCCAATAGTACAAAGTACTAAAATTCTACATGATTTCCTTAATGCTCCAACCACCTCCAGAGGTCCAGAAGAAAAAGGTCGTTGAGATGAGAAAAAATAACTATTTTTTGAGCCCTTCTGCTCTTTAGTTATTCTCTGTCTGTCTTGTCTACCTCTGGGGCATTAACTGGTGTTCTTTATCCTGATGCTTCTCAAAGACTAGCATGCCAAACCTAGACTTTCATTCTAACTATGTGGCCAGCCTCCCTATGTGTGTTTAGCAGATGCCTCAAATGTTTCTGAAATGAATATTTCTTCCTTAAGCGTGGTCCAAAGTCAACACCACCACCAATCCTTTCTCTATCCCTCATCCTTCTCCTCCATGCTTTGGTCTAGTTAATGGAGAGGCTCCCAGAAGAAGAGGGGCTCTGCAACTATCCTCCAGCTCCTGCAGACTTGCACTCAGCTCCTCCCAATTGCTGCTACCTCACACTGTTTTTACTGTGCTCATCCTTTGGAGACCATAGCAAGTCTCTGCTACTTTGGTGGGCACTTCCTCCACTCCCAGGTGAAAACTTCTCTCCTACCATCTCCTATAGACCTTTGTAGCCAAGTCCTCCTGCCGTAGTTTTAAAATCTTCGACTATAGGCACAAATTCTAGTTGTGCAGAGGACTTAGAGTCCTTCCCAGAAGGAAGTTTTTAAATGACAAGAGCTATTTTCATTTTTAGGAGTACCCAACTTTGGCTTTGGTACTGGATCCCACCTTCCAGCATTCTCTGTATTCATGCTGGAACTACCTATGTGGTTAAGGGACATATTTCTCTATCTTTGATTTAACCTGCACTCCTCTGTTCCTTAGTGCTGTTGCAGCTGCTGGAAAGGAAAGATGATCAGCTCATCTATTCTCATGTAGGTATAGATGAGCTTGTGGTGTCTGGGCCTGAACTTGATTTTGGGGCCATTTTAAGGGCTGAAGGTGAAAATGAATTAGTTTTATTTATTTTTTAATCCAAGCCCATTGCCTGTATTCTCTGATCAGAATTTCTTTTAATTTAGCATTTTTCAAACATTTCTTAAACCACAACTTATAGTAAGAAGCAATTTATTTCATAACCTGGAAATGCACATGTGTGTATATTTCATACAAATATATGCATATAATCAAAAGTTTCATCAGACACATCTTACTGCATGTGTTATACTCAAATTTATTTCATTAATAAAGGACTGATCAGCTCCACTAAATCAGGTGTAAGAGAACTTTATTACCCCTGAATTGCATAAGGTTGCTTTCATATATTTTCAGATATTCTTTCTTAAACAACCATTTTTTTTTTTTTTTATCTTTTGTACTGGGGATTGAACCCAGGAGAGCTCTACCAGTGAGCTGCATTCCCAGCCTTTTTTACATTTTCTCTTGAGACAGTGCCTCACATAGTTGCTGAGTCTGCCCTTGAACTTGGAATCCTTTTTTCTTAGCCTCCCAAGTCAGGGGCAATCATAGGTGTGTGCCACCACACCCAGCTTAAACAACTCTTTAAAAATATAAATCATTCTAAGCCTGTAGTCAGGACAAGGAACTCTAAGGGTTTACTGGGAGAACCCCATTTGCCCTTCCCTTTCCTTCCTTACTGTACAGCTGTACTCTATGGAATCACCTGGGGAACTACTGAATCACTTTTTGGGCCCAAGAACCAGTTTGGAAAGCCTTAGTATTTGGTGACATCCTCTAAATTTTCTATAAGTGATTGATAGCTTGCTCTTCAAGGAGAGGCCCTGAAAAAGAAAGCCACAGAGTTAACTGTATAATTCAGGGAGAAAAAAAAAGAGCAGTGGTCTTATTTTCTAGTTGGGGTGGCCTCTTTTTTTCCTTTGGTTTGCCATGATATGATTTCTAACATTTCTAACTTTCTTTTGTAGCTTTGCCAATTTGAGAATTTATCCACATGGATTGGTGTTGCTGGACCTTCAGAGTTACGACAGTGATGCACAGGGCAAAGAAGAAATTGACAGTGTTGGTTTTTTACTTTTATTTATCTTAAAATTTTTTTCTAAAATTTATTTAAGGATCATAAAATCCACTTAGCTTAATTTAATTAAATTCTCCTCCCCACAGATAAGTGGTTTTGGTAGAGAAAATAGTTGTTTCTTAGTTGGTTTCACTTCCTGAGTTGGTAAAGGAATTCCTGCACTGCCTGTCTGACAGGGTCACAGTGTGGGGGATGCTGTGGCAAGGCTGCACCATTTGGAAACTTGAACCATTAGGAATGTTAAGTGTTTTGTTCATGATACTCATGATATGGATAACAGCGCATACATAAATCAATAACAAGAGTATGTATTGCCTGAGATTGCAGGAAAATTCCCAGAATGAGACCAAGGATACAATGGAGACATGCCATGGAGTGTTTCAATGTCTCACAGGATGGTGTTATTCCTCAAGCCTAAGCAACAAGAAATATTTATCYCATGGTTAACAATTTACACTAGCCCCCCCCCCCAACCCCATCCTAAAACCACAACCTGTACAACAGCATAGCTACAGAAAAACAATTGCTGTGCCAATAAGGACCACCGTGTGTAGCTTATGGTATCCCCTTGAGGACAAGAGGCTAATAAAAATACATCCCCCAACCAATAGACCCTCCTTTGCTTTATGCAGAAATTTATGATGAAAATGGAAAACACATAGTTAATATAAATGACAAATGGGTTGAGGTGTAAAGCCTGCCCTTTAGTTGAAGATTACAAAGACATAAGAATTGGTGTGCTTTGACCAAGGATCAAGAAAGTTCTTTAAGAAGGCAGTTGAATAGCTCATATGAAAAAAAGAAAATTACTTTGGAAATTAAAAATAGAATAATGTAAAATTAACAGATATATTTTAGAGGCACTTCAGAGTAGTAGACTTTTCTACTTTAAGTGTGTTTTACTGGGATTTTAGTTTACAAGTAAGAAAGCTTACCAATAATCATAAGTATGCTTTAAAGTTAAAGGTTAATGAAATAATTATAGGTATGCTTTAAAGTTAGAAGCGAATAATAGGTCAGGAGTCATGTAGACTTGTTGCGTTGCCTAGCACCTAGTGATTGAGGTGAAAACGTAAAGCTTAATCATGATTGTCTAAGGTTACAGAAAAATATTTGAACAATGTACTCAATATCTTTGGTAATCAATGTGTGTCACAAAAGATTGTAGTTCTTATAAATTATGTAAATCAAAAAAGTTTCGGGCTTGCTTTGAAGCTATCCATTAACTACCTGAAAAAACACCTGTAAAACAGGTATAAAAATAAAGGTCCCTCCAGGGGCAAAGAGATGTCTTCTGGAGGTTGCTTGTAACTTGCAACCTGTCCTCCCAACTCTTCTTCTTTCGCCAATGTTACTCATCCTTTGGGACCACCCTGGACCCTTACCTCTCCCCCCGCTGGGGCTGGACCTCAGCACTGAGTATGAGTAATGATTTTACTTTCCACTGGAGAAATTATAGAATTTTTTTGTGTGTGTGGTGCTGGGGCCTTGTTGTGTGTTCTAGGTAAGCACTCTACCAAATGAGCTATATCCCCAGCCTGAAATAATAGATCTTTTAACCAGGATTTTATACCTATAATATCCTTTAGTCTTCTCCTTCCCAGTTATTTTGTTGTTAACTAAGTTAAAGTCAGTGCCATGAGTTAGTTGGAGTGGAAGTATGGTATTGGGCCATAGCTAGAGGGGGCAGGTGTATATGCCAGTATGACATATTTCTGTCAACCTGGCCTCAATCCTTTTCTCTGTCATTTAGTTGTTATCTACAGCTTATTCTATATACCCATTGATTTATTTGCTTTTAATTGTAGCTTTTGAACAAAGTAGAAGAAAGAATGAAAGAATTGAGTCAGGACAGTACTGGGCGAGTGAAGCGGTAAGTCCACTCTTCAGTGTTCTTTCATATTTGCTTAAATCAAAATGGCATTGTTGTTCCCAGCAGTGTCTGCTTAAGATGTGGAAGAGACCAAAGTTAATGCTGGCTTTTGGCAGCACTATGAATTAAGCTTCCCCCACACTAAAATAGGACAACATGTATATTTAATACACAGTAATGGTGGGTAGTTTTGGTACATAGAGTGAAACTAAAATCTAGGAAATGTATAAAGCAGAAACTCAGGTAGAGCTGTCACCTAAGTCAAAGGGGGAGCTAGAACCTCCAAAAGAGAAAAGGGTGTGTCTCTGCTCAGGGTTCTGTAGTCCAGAGTAGAATTAAGCAGTTTTAAGACATTTCTGGTAGGATAGAGTGATAAAAAAAATTTACTGGAAGCTTTCAAGTTAGGAAACTTTCCAAGATACTAAGAATTGAGAGGCCATCCATCATCAGCTACCACAGGTAGGCTGTTGTCAAATAGTGATGAAAACAACTGAAGCTTTTCCTGTCTAGTCAGTTAGCTAACAGATTTTTTTTTTCCATGCTGGGGATCAAACTCAGGGCCTCTAGTATGCCAGGCAAGTGTTGTACCATTGAACCACACCCCTAGCCCTGCATGTGGTGATTTAAAGTTAAATAAACAGTTCAGTTCCTCAGTTGTGTTAGCATTATGTCAATAACAAGTGGCTACCACACTGGACAGCACAGATACAGAACATTTTCATCATTACAGAAAAATTCTGTTGGCTACCTCTGAAGTGTCTGCCAGTGGTGCCTGATTTTGAAAAGGTTTTTGACAGACATAGCAATTTTGACATTTGTTGGAAGGGATAGGGTCTGGTGGGTCATCTGAATTAAGTGCTTTGAATACTCAGCATCTGTTTCTCAGCAATTTGTTCTTGCCTTACCTTGGTGGTTCCTCCTCAGGCCATAAGTCATGGAAGACCTGTGCCTTTGCTCATAAAGTTAATTTCATAGATGTGGAGACAGACAAGGAGGGATTTTTGTCAAGGTCACTCCATCATTGATGGGAGCAATCAGAATACTGGTTTTGCTAGTTCATAGCAGTTTCCAGAAGAGGGAATCCTTATTGGCAAGGGCTAGGATGTTTAAGTACATAATGATTCACCCTTTTCAGTTTGATCAGCCCATAGGAAAGCTCCAGGGCAGATGCAAGATAACTAGGTAATTATTTAACTTCCAGTAGGTAGAAAGGGAAAAAGGAAACTAAGTGAAAAGAACAGACTGGGTGTGAAACTTGGCCACTTTTTAAAACATATTTGAATACTCAGTCTTTTTTGTTACCCCACCCAAGTTCAGTTTAGGGGCCCTTGGTTATGTCTTTTTCTTTTTTTTTTTTAAGGAGAGAGAGAGAGAGAGAGAGAGAGAGAGAGAGAGAGAGAGAATTTTTAATATTTATTTTTTAGTTATCGGCTGACACAACATCTTTGTTGGTATGTGGTGCTGAGGATCGAACCCGGGCCGCACGCATGCCAGGCGAGCGCGCTACCGCTTGAGCCACATCCCCAGCCCCCTTGGTTATGTCTTGTCCCCTTCTCCATTCTTTTTCTTTTTTTGAGGGTGCTAGGGATGTAACCCAGCGCCTCATGCCTGCTAGGCATGTGATCTACTGATCTACATCCCCAGATTAGGTTAACAAGTGTTTAGATCAATGAGTTTTATACATTCATAAGTCAATGAGTTATAGGAAGATACTGAGCAGACAAGTCAGTTACTGGTCTCTTCAGCGACCAGGCCTGCTTGTTATATAATATTCTGAGGGATAGAGGATATGAGAAAGCAATGCCTAGGTCTGGACCAGATATCCCACTAGCCCAGCTGAACTTTCTCTTCTTTCATAGGGAGTGGCCCTGGGGGTCTTCTGAGCCTACAGTGTAGAGTGTCTACAACACCTTATACCTCCATTCCAGGTCATCTCCTTACTACTCCATTCAGGCTTCTTTTCACATACACAGACCAAAAAATCTTGTTACTGCTGATCTGTACCTTTCTGGAGGGAGTATTAGGGATGAGTTCCCCATAGTCTGCCTTCTGAGTCTCAGACTTGTCTTCCTTAGCACAGAGCCCTTCTGAAATAATAAATTAAGATTCTTCCTCTTCAATCTGATCCATAAACCACGTCCTCGTCTTGCCCATATCTTCTAACACCATGAAAGCTCCATACTAGCTACCTTCCTTATCTAACCTCTGGACCTTGGGTCCACCAACCCATGTCTTTACCTTATGACATCTTCAAATGGGCACATCCAAAATCCAGCCCATGATCTTCTCTTTGAAACCTGTTTCTTGTGCTGACTTCCCCAACACCATTCTTTCAGACTGGGCTGGGGATATAGCTCAGTTGGTAGCATGCACAAAGCCCTGGGTTCAATCCTAGCAACACACACACACACACACACACACACACACACACAGACTTTCTGGCAAAAATTATGGGATGAACCTTTACCTCCTACTTTTCTTCACAGTTCTAGCTAATGCAGCAGGAAATCCTGTCACTTCTATTTTTCAGATTTGTCTGATATCTAATCACATATCCTCTCTGCTGCCACCCCTCTGTCTAGCCTCCACTTAGAGTTCACCCAGGGTCAAGAACAAATAATCTGAAGGCAGGTTACTTATGAATATAATAATTTAGGTTTCTGAAAATCAACCCCCTCCATTTCTGATTCTGGGTGTTTGTGGTCCAGAATGAGGCCAGATCCCCACCCGAGATCCTGATGAGTCAAAGTGACTTTTTCTTATTTTCCTTTAATTCAGGGAAGCCTGATTATAGCCTGTGGCTCAGTGGTGGCTATGGTCCAATGGTATATTCCAGGCAGGTTCAGGCATTGCAACATCCATATTATATAATGCCTGCCTTTGCCACTAGGGGGCTTCTCATTGCTATATCCAGGAATACCTCAGAGAAGACAGAGGAGAGACAGTAGAATTCATGCCTGGTGGGATCACAGGCCTCTGAGTGCATGAGCCATAGACCAGAATGTCCACTGGATCATCCTTCAGGTTGGAGAAACCCAGGGCCAGCTTGACCTCTTCCTCCTTAAGGGTCCTGGTTTTCATCAGTGCTATTTGGAGTCTTCTGCAGATGGCCTTCCTCATCTTTTTCTTCTTTCTACCAGGCATTCATTTCTGTGAATAAAGGGAGGTTGTCATATTTTTAATGTATTTCTCATCTAAACTTTGCATCATTATGGGCTTTTTCCCCATAAGATCAAACCAGTGGCTTCCCTCAGTATTCCTGTTTTTATTCCCTGTCCCCTTTCCTCTCCCAACTTTATTAACACAGGGCAGAATAATCCTACAACTAATCGTCCCTCACGGCACCATCTCAGATTTCCATTACAGCAGAGCCTTCACTTTACCTCTGTTCCTGCAGACACAGTCAATCCTGGGTTTCCCCAATGCTGCCAAATTAGTAGTACCTACAAGCCTTTGCACATGCCACTTCTGGATAGGAACTCTCTGATAGTCCCCATGATAATGGCTGAAATGGTGATTCCTGCCCCCTATCCCACCCAGTACCTCTCTTCTAGACACAGGGGTCTTATCTGCAGTGAGCTATTTAGATTTCTCTATCTGGCTTCAGTATTTGAAGGTGTGGGGGTTGTGCTAGGGGAGGGCCTAGGAACACATTACACATCTGAGAAGAGCTTATGGGCACAGCCTTTGCCATCTGAGCCAGGGAATATGAGAGCAGTGGATATGATCTGGATGGGGGCCAGAGCACTGGAGTCCGAAAAGCAGCCAAAAGGAGTCCCTTCCCCATTTCAGGTGAAGAATCCTGCTCCCTGGTTGACAGCCAGCTAGCTATAGGCAGTACTGAAGTAGGCACAAACCCACTGAAAATGGACAGTGCCTATCCAGAAGCAATCAAAAGAAGTCCCTTCCCCATTCTTAAAATCATATCCACACCCACACCACTTTCTGGCCACTTCATCTTTTCCTTCTTGAACAGTTTTGCTTATCTGCATCCATTGAATTGAATCTGTTCTCATTATGTGGGAAAATGAGTTGGTCCACATCAAAATACACCCTGATCTTTATCACTTCTAGGAGTGAGCAAATAGAATACATTTCTGTGCTTCAGCATTCATGAGAAATCTGGTTCTTTTGTTTTTTTGGTATAGGAATTTTCTAAGTAGAACTGGAGCCAAGCTTTAGGTCTTCAAATCAAAATGCAGATCCTGTTTTTGCTTGTCACAGTTTTTACATCTTCTTTTTATAAAATAAGGGTCAAAAGAGCAATAACTTGGGAATACCTTGTTGTAGACCCTTTGTTAATGGCCCAAAAGGACAAGGATTGTTTTACTTTTTTGTCTGGGGAATGACATTGTTACAGATGAAATCATGAACAGAAATCTCCGTAACATTATTTGAAATTGTTACTATTCCCCTTTGGCTAATGAATTAAATCTGATTTTTTTTTTTTTTTTTTTTACTAAGGAGCCCCATAGGATTTATCTGAACATTTATTTCTATATTTTCAAATGAAAAGGAGCAAGAAAACAAGCTTACATGTTTCTTGTTTCTCCCCAGTGCTGGGGATTGAACCCAGGGCTTTCCACATGCTGAGCAAATCTTCTGTAACTGAGCTTCATTCCCAGCCATTTCATTTTTAAAATCTTGCAATTTACACAGCACACCTGAGGCCCAGGACATATTCCACCTGATGTTCTGCAGTCGATTTTTTTATTTTCAGCAGTGAAGGTTGAAATGAGTTTTCTAGAGCTCCACAGCATCTTCTGGTAGCCCATTACAGGATGATGTGCTCTATGCTGGGTTGAGTACTCTCAGGGTAATGGCTTCCACATCCGGTTTGAGATCCTTGTTGCCTTTTTGCCTGGCTTTAAAAACCATTGTGTTGCAATGGAGAAGAGAGCTCTTCATCTTAACCCAAGGCACTATTGACATAAATGAGGCTAGGCACTGTTTATTTTCAGTGGATTTGTGCCTAGTTCAATATTGCCTAGAGCTGGCTGGCTGTCAACCAGGGGGCAGGATTCTTCCCCTGAAAGCTGTGACTTTTTTATCTTCATTCAGTGCCACCTCACAATATACACTATCATCTATCTGGTAGAAGAAGCTTCCTCCAACTCCTCTTTGCTTGGTCTTGGGGACCTGTCCTGATTGGGGTTTCACTTTTTACTTTTTTTTTTTTTTTTAAAAGTATATGGGGATGAAGTGTGATACCTGCAGTGACCATTTTCTCCTTCAGCTTTTTATTAGGAAAAATGTAAAGCATGTCAGAAAGTTTGTGAAAAAATAAACTCGTATGTGTAATAGTTGTTGATATGTGGTTGTGGATGTATAAAGGTAAATGCCCCAAATCTGGATTTGTTTTTGTTCTTTTAAAGAAATAACTCTCTGGTCTGCCTAACATTTTGAAAGCTGGATTTGTTCACTGGAAAGATGAAGTGGTTAAATCTGGAGTTTTTAGGATTAAATGAGAGCTTAAGGAAATTTTCTTTGTCAGCCTTAGTGCTCTTTATGATGTTAGTATTTTCTCAGAGAAAACCTTGTTAACTTGTAACAGGCTCAAACTGTTACTCTTGGAAGCCAATGATTGGGGAGTGGGAAGAGACTCAGCAATAAGGCAGAGGTAGTTATGTTCTAGTGTTGTGGGTGTCTGTGGCTATACTTCATGCCATTTTACTATTGAACACTACTATGTTTGAGAACACAACTTGCATGCTCTTGTGTTGTATGTGCAATGTGTTCTCAGTTTCTTTGTGTTTGAGTTAGATTTGCCAAGCCCCCTTTCCAGGTCCCTTTTCTCCTGTCATTTAGTGCCCTCTACTGGTATTTTCTAGTATATTCATCCTGTCTAAACCACTGAGTATTTATAAAAGCATGGACCAAGAAACTCATCATTTTGTAGCTACTCCAATAATAATTAGTTCAGGCAAGAATCTTCTAGATAACACAGCCACTGGTAAAAATATATTGGCAGATCAGGACAGTCACCCAGCTTCAGAGGCCCCACCACAGCCTGCTTAGTAATTTCTGTGGGTGAAAGGGACCTTTGCAAATGAGAGATCCAGCAAGCATTACTGTAACCAAATGCCCACCCACTTTGCATCACCAGTGGTAGGACAGGAACACCTCTTGTATTCCTTATGAGGTGCCTGTGTAATATGTCAACCTGACTGATCATGAAAAGACCAGGCAAACTCACAGAAGGGATTTTTCTTAGCTGATCTGAACTTTGTAGAGAAATCATAAAACATACCAGAATAGAAAAAGAATATTCTATTATTTTTCTATATATTTTTCTATTAAGAAAAAAAAAGAGGGGCTGGGGATGTGGCTCAAGCGGTAGTGCGCTCGCCTGGCATGCGTGCGGCCCGGGTTCGATCCTCAGCACCACATACAAACAAAGATGTTGTCTCCACCAAGAACTAAAAAAAAAATAAATACTAAAATTCTCTCTCTAAAAAAAAAAAAAAAAAAAAAGAATAATAGGAAAATGCAGTGTGCAAACCTTTATTCAAAAGCAGAACTGCAATAAAGGACATAATTGGGACATTTAAGGAATCTTGAAGGTGAACTCTGTACTAGATAATGGTTGACACTGGTAACGGCCATATGGCTATGTAAAAGGTCTTAAGCAAAAGTATATGGGGATGAAGTGTGATACCTGCAGTGACCATTTTCTCCTTCAGCTATTTATTAGGAAAAATGTAAAGCATGTCAGAAAGTTTGTGAAAAACTTTAAACTCGTGTAACAGTTGTTGATACGTTGATCTTGTGTTGTATGTGCAATGTGTTCTTAGTTTCTTTGTGTTTGAGGATGTATAAAAATAAATGCCCAATCTCTGGATTTTTTTTTTTCTTTTAAAGTATCCACCTGTGGCATGTGGCTTTCTGTTGTGCACTCTTCATCCCTTATCCCCTTTTAAGGCTGCATTGAAGAAAGGCTCATTTCTGTTTCCCTTTTTTTCCAGATTACCTCCCATAGTTCGAGGAGGGGCCATTGACAGATATTGGCCTACTGCTGATGGACGCCTGGTTGAGTACGACATAGATGAAGTAGTATATGATGAAGATTCTCCTTATCAGAACATTAAAATTCTACACTCGAAGCAGTTTGGAAATATTCTTATCCTCAGCGGGGATGTTAGTAAGTATTCTATCCCTGTCTTGATTAAGTGATAAGGTCATGGTATGTTGAATGGTTGTGTTTTCCTGACAAGTACCACAGATATGGATTTGTCCAAGTTTGTCTCTAACACTGCTATCTTTTAAGACAAACATTTACAATCTATTAACCTGTAGATTGCCTGGATTTTCATGTAAATTTTGTCTTGACTTTTTTTCTTGATGAATAGTTGGATTATATTGCAAAAGAAAGTGCAATTGCTTATTTTAAATACTTTGTTAGGGAAATATTCAAACCTTAAGTAGTGTTACGAATTGGGTATGTACTCACCATTTGAACATCAACAATTATGAACTCTTGGCCAGTCTTGTTTCACCTAAGCCCCAGTGTGTGCATTTTGTTCCTGTCATATTATTTTGAAATAGCTCCCAGACATCATAATTTCATCCCTAAAGATGTCATTGCTTTAATTATTCAGCATATAAGCACATTCCCAAGGCTGGATTTTCTTTACACTGACTACTAACTGTTCATTTCTGTATGGTGTTAGATGAGACCTACTTAATGTTTGCATTTTTCTCTAACAAAGTATTTTTAAATAAGCAATTGCACTTTCTTTTGAAATATAATCCACATACTCATCACAAGAAAAAATAATGTCAACACAAAGTTTACATGAAAATCCAGGCAATCTACAGGTTAATTAGTATGTTGTGAATGTATATATTAAAAGACAGTAGTGTCAGAGACAAAGGGTTGATTAAAAACTCCTCAATCTAAATAAATAAAAAAGCAAGCAAGTAATTAAGTAAGTAAATAAATGCTACTGATAGTTTTCAAAGATTGAAAATTTTATATTACAGGCTAGATTCCAGTACTTTCTAGGATCGTGAGATCAGGTGGTTTGTGTATTTGTGTAGTCACCATTTGGCGCTTTGTTTCTTCTCTCTAGATCTGGCAGAGAGTGATCTGGCGTATACCCGGGCTATCATGGGCAGTGGCAAAGAAGATTACACTGGCAAAGATGTGCTGATTCTAGGAGGCGGAGATGGGGGTATATTATGTGAAATAGTCAAACTGAAACCAAAGATGGTCACTATGGTAGAGATATCCTTTGTCATATAAAAGAACAAGTTCACTGGGCTTCTTTTTTTCTTCCCTTTTTGTGTTTTAAGACTCAAGTTAATATTACCACAGACTAAAGGCAGACGTGTTACATAGACTGCCTTCAACAAATGCTTCAGTTTAGTACTAGTAGCTTTTTATGTGGCTACCAACAAAGAAGCAGAGATAGCATAGTTGAGGATTAAAGAGGAAGTGGCTTTGGTACCCTGTCGCTGTTTAGCAGTTGCCAAAATGGCTTCCCTAAGCCATTTCATAAAAAAAAAAAAAAAAAAAAAAAGAAAAAAAGAAAATTCAGGGGGCTGGGGATGTTGCTCAGTGGTACAGTGCTTGCCCGGCATACATGAGGCCCTGGGCTTAATTCCCAGTATTATGATCAAAAATTAAAGATAAAAGAAAAAAATTCATTTCTTTTTTAGTATTCCTAGTGTGAAAATAAAACCATTATGTCATCAACTTTCTTTAGCCTATAATACTCAAAGTCCTGTAAGACCTTTATGTTTGTCAGACTCGATGGTGCCCACCTATAATCCCAGTGTCTCAGGAGGCTAAGTCAGAAGGATTTCAAATTCAAGGCCAACCTCAGCAACTTAGTGAGGCCTTAAGCAACTCAGCTAGACTCTCTCTCAAAATGAAAAGGGCTGGGGATGTGGCTCAGTGGTAAAGTGCCCCTGGGTTCAATCCCTAGTACCAAACAAGACAAAACAAAACAAGTAAACAGTAATAACAACAACAAAAACCCCTTCATTTTTGTCTTGACCTTCTTTAAAAATAGTGTTACTATTTCAGAATTCTTTGATACATTTAAATTCTCCTTAACCTGTTTCGGACATTGACCAAATGGTGATTGATGGATGTAAGAAATATATGCGAAAAACATGTGGTGACGTCTTAGACAATCTTAAAGGAGACTGCTATCAGGTAATTATGTTTTCCTGGTAATGTATTTTAGGACAACTGGTACGAATTATTGATTGGAATTGTATCTTAAAACAGCTTTTAGATAATTGGTTAAGAAGATAAATAGATTGTCTCTCTATGTGAGTGTCTCTCTATGTGAGTTCAGTGTACACTTACATTTAGGGTGGATATGTACAGATAAGGAGAAGTAAACCACCAATTCCAGGTTTGAATCAGTTTGAATTGAATCACATTACTTTTTTATTTTTGGTGCTGGGGATCACATTCAGGCACACACTTTACCACTGAGCAATACCCCCAACCTCATTAATTCTTGTAGAAAAGATGTCATGTACCTTTTTATGAATTGGCAATCATCACCTTCTGTTTTATCCTGAATCGTTTCTTTGAGTTTTGATCTTTCAGTAGGAATTCAGGTATACTTAATTGGTAGGTATACATGATTAAAATGCATGAGATAGGAGCAATGTCTTGTTAATAAGCAATTAATTTCTGTTCTAAATTCCACTGTGCTTGTGATGTGTAGTATATATTTTGTATTGTATTTTGGAGATGAATGTTTGGTACACATACCTACAGGTTTGTTGAAGCAAGGCATCTAAGAAAATGCATATTTTAACAGAATTTTTAATGTGTTTCTTCAGAAATTTTGATGAGTGCTTTAATATGTAAATTATTTAATACCTCCTTCCCTAATGTATGTGCATCTAAATTTGATTTCATGGTACATGCATGTTAGTCTTTTGAGAGGAATTTTGTGCACCTTAAAATTCAGTTGTGATTATTTTATGGGAAATAGGGGAGAAAGACATAAATTCAGCTTCACTATATGAAAGCTTAAAGGTGGGGTGTGTGTGGTGATAATCCCAGTTACTTCAGAGGCTGAGGTAGGAGGATTGCAAGTTTAAGGCCAGTCTGGACAACCAATCAAGACCCTGTCTCAAAATAATATTTTTAAAAAGGAGTGGGATTTAGCTGAGCTGTAGAGCACTTGCCTAATAAATGTGAAGCACTGGGTTCAATCCTTACGGTTGGGGGAGGGTACATTAGGTTGTTCAGAGTGTGTTTACAGCTATTTAACATATTCAATCAAATTGTTTCATGAGTTTAAAGTTACCACTGTTTGCAAACAGTGAACCAGACCCTCTGCCCATGGTATTTAACTTTTATACTTATAACTGGTGGTACTATTTCAACTCCAGGATGAGAATGAAACTTAGAGAATTTAAAGGGAATTTCTTTAAGGTTATAGGAGTGTGGCATAGACTCCTATCTCCCTTCCTTCTTATGTGGCTTTCTTACCTGGATTAAGACCACAAGCAAAAACTCAAAACAGTTGAGTTGTCGACTGGGGTTTTGTTTGTTGGTGCTCAGTAAATATGCATTGATCAAATTATACTATATGAATATATCACAATCAATCCCACTTTTATGTATAACTATAATGTTAAATAGAAGGAAGATTAATATAGATCAGGGGAGGGAGGTGGGAAGAGAAGGAGGTCTTAATGAGGATTGAAATGGAGCAAAATAAGTTATGCAATTGTGAATTTGTCGAAATGAACACAATTATGTGAAACTATAATGTACTAATAAAAATATAAATTAAAAAAGAATAAGTGAATGAATATTGTTAAATTCACCTGTTAAAAGAACTCATAGTATCAAATCACATCTTGCTTTTAGTTAAGGCATCATTGGAGAGAGTTGGTTTTGGAGTGCATCCTCATCCTCCTCTTTTCTGGAACATCACCATTACCAGGGGGAGCCTGGAAAATTCTTCTGTGACTGACTGAGTTCTCTCTCTTTCTCTCTCTCTCTCTGAGCCACATCCCCAGCCCTGTTTTGTATTTTATTTAGAGACAGGGTCTCGCTGAGTTGCTAAATGCCTCACCATTGTGGAGGCTGTCTCAGCCTCCTGAGCTGCTGGGATTACTCTCAAGAGTTGATAGGCTTGGGGGCTGAGTGCATGGCCTCCTCTGTGGGGGAAGAAAGACCTACCTGACCACTTCCCCTCAGGGGCATGCAAGTCCCTTGTCCATTAAAGTGCTGCCATTGATGAGAAGCCAAGGCTTTGCAGCTATTTCATATTTGTTTAGAAAATAGAAAACATTTCAAAGCCCTCCTGGATTTATAACTATGGAATAACTTTAATACTGAAGTACAGGTAGTATACCAAGAAAACTGAAGACTGATCATACATTTGCATGTACACACACACACACACACATACATACATACACACATACAAGGTTTCCAAGTAAAATGTACAAACTTATTTAAGAATTCTACATTGTGCCTAAGTAGGATTTCATTCAGATATGTAAAGACGTGGATTTTGAGAAATACAGTTAACATAATTCATTATATGAACAAAGAGTGATATATTAACAAATTACAAGAATTTGAGAATACTTAGCAGTCATTTTTTTAAATGTTTTTTGGTGGTGCTGGGGATTGAACCCAGGCCTTGGGCATGTGAGGCAAGTACTCTACCAACTGAACTACTGAGCTATATCCCCAGCCCCCAGTCATTTTTTTTAAAATATATTTTTAGTTGTAGATGGATCTAATACCTTTATTTTATTTATTTATTTTTATGTGGTACTGAGGATTGAACCCAGTGCCTCATGTGTGCTAAGTGAGCATTCTACCACTGAGTCACAACCAGAGTCCCTATTCTTTTTTTTTTTTTTTTTTTGGTAGATGTACACATTACCTTTATTTATTTATTTTTATACATTCATTCATTTATGTGGTGCTGAGGATCAAACTGTGTGCCTCACATGTGCTAGGCAACTGCTCTACCACCGAGCCACAACTGCAGCCTAGCAGTCATTCTTTATAAAAATTCTTTAAAATAAAATTGCACTAGAGGGAATCATCAAAACATAATAGAAAACTAATTATCAGAAACTTAATAGTAGGGGCTAGGATTGTGGTTCAACGGTAAAGTGCTCGCCTAGCATGTGTGGGGCCCTGGGTTCGATCCTCAGTACCACATTAAAAAAATAAATGAATGGAATAAAGGTATTGTGTCCAACTACAACTAAAAAAATAAATATTAAAAAAGGAAACAAAAATAAAAAAAATAAAAAAGGAAACAATAGTAAATTATAGTAATATAAGTGGTAAAAGCTATTTCACCTGAAAATTAGGAACAAAAAGAGGATGCTTATTATTTGTCTTCATGGTTGCTTTTGAGGCAGGTAATATAGTCAGGTAGGAAGATGAACACTGTAAAAAATCTAGGAACCATAGAAAATCAGTTGGATTCATGAGAATTTGGTAAAGTGATAGATAGGGACAGATGAAAAATATTTTCCCTGCTGAAATGCTGAATAGTTTGAAAAAAGGGAGGAGTGAGTGAGCAGGAAATCCTATTCAAAGTAATAACCAACGGTTAAACACCTAGGAAAAACTGAACACGAATGGTGTTGTGAGAGTTATCTGAATTATGTTAAGATCTTATTGAAAGATATCACATAAAGTCTGAATATGTGGAGGAGAGGCATGCTTATTTCCTTCACAGATAAGAGAAAAAAAATACCTGTTTTGTTTTTTGTAGTTATAAGCAATTCCAAGGAGTAGATTTAGACTTAGACCTAGTGATTTTAAAGTTCATTTTAAAAGATAAATAAATATCTAAGAATAGTCAAGAAGATTTTGGAAAATAATCATATTGAAGGGAGACTTGTCCTATTGATTGCTAATTTTTAAAATATTTATTTATTTATATGTGGTGCTGAGGATCGAACCCAGGGCCTCGCACATACTAGGTGAGCACTCTACCACTGAGTCAAACCCCAGCCCCTATTGATTGCTAATTTAAGTCACAGTATTCAAATAGGAAATATGTCATAGGATTAGACATAGTTTAGAGGAATGAAACAGGAACTTGCATATTTGGGTGTGTATCCCTACATATAGTGTTAGTACATGATCCTTAGTGCATGACTTAAGATATAAGATACGTTTCAGTTCACTTGGGAAAAGGAGGTTTAATTGACTTAATAAGCCATAGTGGGCTAGCTAGCCATCTGCATGAGAACAAAGTTAGCTAACCCTAGAAACCATGGAAAGAGGAATTTCAGATCAATAGATTTATGAAAATTTAGAATTGGGAAACATTTTAAGAAAAGACATTCAGAAAATGCGGATGCTGTTTTGTTGGCATTACCAAGCCAAAAGACAGACTAGAGTAGTACTGGTAACAAATATGATAGGGTTTTGATCCTATGACTAATAAAAAGAGTCCTTACCACTTAAAATTTAAAAATGAAGTTAGCTAAATTTAAAAAAAATAAAGAATATGAACTGGTACTTTTTAGAAGAGGAGAAAGTCAAATGACTTTTCAAAATACTTCAAGATGCTTACCCCTGTTGATGACACAGGAAGTTTATTTGGAAACATTAGCAAGCAACTTGGCAAAATTTAGGACAGTACTCCATGCTAGGGAGGATACAAGGAAATTGTGGCTTGCAGGCATTGTTGGTTGGAACATTAGTTGTTTCCAAAACTGAAAACTTAAAACACATGTGGCTGATTACCTTACTAACCCAGTGTTTGAGCACCCAGCTCACAGATGAAGGCATCAGGAGAAGGAAGTTTGTTATGTTCATAGAGGCCAAGGCTTGGTGATCACAAGAGTAGAACATTTTTAGTGAAATGGCATAATTTTAAGATTCATTATATAGAAATACATTTATTATAATAAAGATAAAAACAATATTAGACAAAAATGTCCAAGTTGAGAATGATGTATGTGATTCAGGTTTTACAAAACAGAACACATTTGTGTTTAGGTGTGTGTGAGTATAAGAATCTATATGACTGGGAAAATTATGACAAATGAGATTAATATGTAGATTATAAGATGCTGTTAGTACGTCACCTTTGCCTACTTGAACTATTCTGATGCATTGAGACAAGTCATAAAAACAATAGGACAGTAAAATTCTTTTAAAATTATGACTGATTAAAAACTACAGGATGTCATCATAGGGAATTGTGGCACACTTTTGATTTCTGACTTGGTACATGCGATTTTTTTTTTTTTTTTGTAATTAGGAAAACAACAGATGAGGAGAATAACTCCTGTCTTGTTCAGGGTTTTACTTAGACCCAGGTGTGTCCTCAGCATACAGCTTCAGTATTTCAAAGATGAGGCAAACCCCAAATTTATTAATCCTCTCTTATTCTGGAGGAATATGATCCCAGATCCCTAGTGGATGCTTGAAATTGTAGGTAGTACAGATTTCTATATATACCATGTCTATAAATATACTAATGATGAGATTGAGTTTATAAGCTATGTAGAGTAAGATTAATAATAGCTATTATTAATAAAGTAGAACAGCAGTAATAACATACTGTAACAAAATTCCAGCACCATTGGTTTTTGTGCTTTGGGGCCATATTAAGCAAAATAAGGGTTACTTTAACACAAGCTCTGCAATGAGGTGGCTACTAAGTGGCTATTAAATGACTAGTAATAATATATACTCTGGACAAATGGATGATTTATGTCCTGCACAGAGTGATGTGAAATTTCATCATGAGAACAACAACAATTTAAAACTTACAAATTGTTTATTTCTGGAATTTTCCGTTTAATTATTCAGACTGAGGTTGGCCAAGGGTAATTAAAACCATGCCTAGTGAAACTGCATATAAGGGGGAGTCTACTATATTTACTATACAGGATCTGTCTGAAAATTTCAGCCTTTAACTACTATTCTCCACTCTTGATGACTTTTCTATGGTGGAAGTTGATATTTATGAAATGACTTAATTATCTGTAGTACTCAATATTTCAGAAACCATAGGTTAATAGTTTAAGATGCAAAAATTAATAAGCCATGAAGTCATTCAGTGTTTAGTATAAATTACAAAAACTAGAAGAAAATTCAGATAGTATTAGGAGAGGGAGTCAGGATCAGAGTTAAAAATATGAACTTGGCTTTCAGATAGTTCTTGGTGTACTTTTTGTCTGTTTATTGGGTGGCTTTGGGTGTGACCTCTCTTAAGTCACTTTCTCCATTGGTAAAATGGTGATGATAACAGGCCTTGTAGAATTGTTGTTTAGTTGAAATGAGAAGGCATATGAGGCATATACTGCTTATTTTTGCCATTACAAACATGGATGAAGGTCTATTTTTGTGTGGCAGGTGCTGTGGATCTAATCTCCAGCTTGCATTTTCCCCCTTCCTCTATAAGTGTTGTTTAATTACATCCACATGTATTGGCTCACTTGTATAATCCTATTATCTCTGGAAGGTTCTAATAGAAGACTGTATTCCAGTACTGAAGAGGTACGCCAAAGAAGGGAGAGAGTTTGATTATGTGATTAATGATTTGACAGCTGTTCCAATCTCCACATCTCCAGAAGAAGGTAGATTGTGTCTTGTTTTTAACCAAGATAACTATTAATGGAAATGTTTTCTCCTGGCACTTTGTGAAGGTGAAAAGATTTTAGAGATTGTCTAGTTCTTTCATTTTTTAAAAAAATATTTTTTAGTTGTTGTTGGACCTTTATTTTTTATTTATTTATATGTGGTGCTGAGAATCGAACCAGTGCCTCATGCATGCTAGACTAGCGTGCTACCACTGAGCTACAGCCCCAGCCCCTATTTCATTTTTTTAAAGGGAGTTAAACTGAGGGCCATGGTGGAAAGATGGCTGGATTCGGATTTGGCTTTAATTCCTGTTCTGCCTTTAAATTAATTAATTCAGTCATTTGAAACAAACATTAAGTGAAATGGCCCATAATCACAATATGGAGACATTAAATTATTTGATATTTTATTTAAATAATGTGTTTTTACCTATAATGGGACAAACTGATAATCTTTGTAAGCAACACAAGAGACAATTCTCCTCAAACCACATGCTCCCAATTGCTGCTAGTTTGTGTTTTCTATTAATGTTTTTTTCTGTAAACTTGATTTACTGGCTGAGTTTGCAGAATGGGGTCCCAATCTGATGTCCCTTGCATTTCTCTCCCAATGTTGCTACTTCCCCCTTTGAAGCAATTTTAGATTTCAACCATTACCTTTGTGTGGAATTTTTTTTTTTTTTTTTTTTTACTTGGGTGCATTGTGGAGGTTATTGGCAGCGGAACCCAGGGCTCTTGCAGGCTACATAAGCACTTTACCACTGATCAATAATCTTGACGTCCTATGTCAAATCTTTTTTGGTGGTTTGAGAACAATGCTAAGTAGATACAAATTTGATTTTGACCTTGGAATTTATGTGTGTGTGCATGTAAGACTAACTATATGACTGTTCCATTATTGTTCATGAATAAATCCTCTAATAGTGGGTCTCAAGCTCATGGATCTTCCTTCCTGTTTTTGTATTATTGAGTACTAGAGTGAATATTTGGTGATAGATGTTTTTGATGCAAACCCGTACTTATAAAATTTAATTTTTTTAACATTCAGATTCCACATGGGAGTTTCTCAGATTGATTCTTGACCTCTCAATGAAAGTATTGAAACAGGATGGGAAATATTTTACACAGGTAGGCTACTCAAGTTTGTTTTTTTTTTCCTCCTAAGACTCTGAATAAGATTTTTATATTTTGAAGGTTGATTGTGTATTATCAAAATTTATGTCTTTTAATGATAGAACAATGTCACTGGATGATATTTTTTCAAGTAGTAAGTTTCTAAATTCCTGACCTGTCATCTCTTGAGAATTAATCAGTTCATAGCAACACTCAAGATTTATCCTTATTTGTCTTGGCTGTAGTATGAACTGCTGCCACCAGATGGAGACACAGATTGTGGTTCTTTTTTTCCCTCTCCCCCTCATTCTGTAGGACAGTTTTGGTTGAAAAGCCCATTTAGCAACATACACTTAATAATATAATAGCTTTGCCTGTAGTATGAGCTGCTGCCACCAGATGGAAGCAAACTGGTGTTTTTCTCATTCTCTAGTGAATTTTTAATTCTCAATGAATGTTTGAAGGTATATTTATTCATCTCTATAAATAAATAAATAAACAAACAAATAAATAAATATACATACACACACACACACACACACACACAGAGAGAACCTATTAAAATCCTTAATAAAATTCTGAAAGTGACAGCAAAGATAATTAGTTGATAATTCAGTCTCTTGGTAAAAATTCCTTGAGCCAGAAGCTTATGTAGTATTGCACTCTTGTCTCTGGCTTCTTCTGGGTTTACAGGAAAATATCCCCACTACTATTTAAATCATAAACACTATCATAAACAGTATTTCATATTCTACCATATATCCACAGTCCTAATCATATGACCCTGTATATGTAAACAACTTTACAAAGTAATAATATATTGTATTTAGATCTTGGGAACTCATTTCGTACTTTATTTGTTAAGTAATATGTGCTACTTTTTAATTAAAATTTTTAAATTGTTTAAAAGATATAAACCTATAAAAATTGTTATATTAATGAGGTACCAGGTGATGTTTCAGTACATGAATATAGATGGGACAATGTTTCAATCAGTAAGTATTTTTGTGTCCTCAAATATTTCTTATTTCTTTATGGTAAAGACCATTCTGAATCCCTTACTTCTAGCTTTTTAGAATGTGTAGTATATTTTTGTTATCCATAGTCACCATTCTATGCAGTAGCATACCAGAATTTCTTGCTCCAATCTTACTGTTAACTTTGTACCCATTGATCAATGGCTTTAAAAAAAAGGTTAATATGTTTCACCATCGATAACAAATAGAGGTCTATATTTTCCTGGGAAGATTCCTACCTCCAGACCCTACCCAACCCTGGACTTTTTATGGGATCTGATATGAAAAATATAAAACTTTGAAACACCTCAACTCAGACTGTAGCCTATTCTGTTTTCTCCCACTTCCCACTGTGTGCAATGCCTACAGGCACGTAGTGATTCATCCTGTCTCTGCAATTGGTGAAAGAGTTGCAAAGCTTTGAAGCGAGTACATAACTACCTATAAGTGGATAATTTATCTCCTGATATTTAGAAGTGATTTTTTAACACATTCTAAATTTGATTCTATTTAGAGTAAGGGTCTGCAAACCATGGCCTTCTGCTGCTTTTGTAGTTTTCTTGGCACACAGTCATGCCCATTCATTACATAGTGTCTATGGCTGCTTCCATGCTACAATGGCAACAAGGAGTAGTTGTGGGGGTGGCCATATGGTCTGCACAGCCTAAAATGTTTTCTCTCTGGCTATTTACAGAGGAAGTTTGCTGACCTCTGTTTTATAGGATATCTATAGTGAAAGCTGCTCAAAGACTTCTTATTATAAAAGCAACCCAGATTCAGTGAATTGGGCATTTTTGTGAGTGGAATTTCTTAAGCAGGGCATATTTATACCATTTTTTCTTTCATGGTTCTGCAAATAGAATGCTCATGCAGGTTTAAGTTAAAGAAAGATGTTTAACTAAAAACAGAGCCCCCCCTCCAAAAAAAAAGCCAGGTGGCATGGCATACATCAGTAATGGCTGAGGCAAGAGGATTGCAAATTTAAGGCCTGTGATCATAGCAACTTGGGAGGCTGAGGCAGGAGGATCACAAGTCTGAGGCACCTTAGTGAAATCCTGTCTCAAAATGGCAAAAAGAAATTTTTTTAATGGACATTGAGAAAAAATGTGGATCCCCACAGTCAGTTTATAATAGATAACAGGTGGTGTTGGAAAGGAAATGTGACTGTTTTCTTCATCCTGAACATTTGACTGGTTGACTGACTCCTATAGAGAACTGGTATCTTAGTATGGGAGTCTAATAGAAATGCTTAATTAGAATACCAGTCCAGTCATAAATATTTATTATCCAGGCTTTGATAACTTGCCTTGGCCAATTGACTTATTTCAGAAATCACAGGTATTATGTGCTCAGGGGTTTGCTGTTTTGCAAGAATTTTCCAGAAGATATATTACAACATGTTTTCTGTCTCTATGTTCATTATAGTTGGAAATACAAAGTGATCTTGTTTTGTGATATCCATTTTGTGATATTCATTTTGGGGAACATGGAGTAAATCCAGTAATGAAATGTGCCATATCCTGAGATTCATATGGAATGAAGTGTGCAGGCCTTTTAGGAAGCTGAAGACTAGTCAAGAAGCAGGGTAGCCTAATTGAGGATATATTGGTATACTTACCAGTGAAGGCTTTTGTTTGTTTATTTGTTTTGGTGCTGGGAATGGAACCCAGGGCTTCATGCCTCATGCATGTTAGGCAAGCCTATACCCTCAGCCCTTGATTTTTCTTTAAACTGCAGAGTGATATGCTTGGGCAATACCCTTAATTTATTGCTATGCTTACTCTGCTTGCTGAAGTGTGCAGCTTAGAACTGGAGTGTAAGGTTAAGGATGGGATAAAAGTGCTGTATAGGTTGTATAGTGATTCACAAAAGCTAAATGTTCCTGCCCAGAATGGTTTGTATCACATTGAAAGTTTGTGATGTCACCTTACTGCTTGAAGGCAGCCTTAGTAGCATGCCATGAAGCTGGGGAATGTATTGTGGGAATTGAGCTGGTCCAGGTGGGGCTGTCAGAAGTAAAATTGGAGAGGAATTGTTCTCATAGGATTAGGAGGAAGGTTCTGGGACTTGAACACATGCCTTCTTTCCCCAACCCTATTTTTAAAATGATAGGCTATTTGATGCATAAAAAATAAGTGTAAAATTATGCTGTGAAATAATAGCAGACACCTGACCACTCTACCCAACTTGAACTGGGCATTACCAGTACTCTTTATGCAAACTATATTCCTGCCTAATACTTGCTGCTTTTGGAAGTAATCCATCCTTAGTATCATTTTAAAAAAATTCTTATATTTTCTTTATAGATGGTTCACATACTTGTGATTTCCTATATAACTTAGTTTTGCTTGCTTTTGAACCTGATTTTAAAAGGCATGTCAAGGATGTGTTCTTCAGTTTTCTTTTTATACATTACAGAAACAATATATACTAGGGCTGGGGATATGGCTCAAGCGGTAGTGTGCTCGCCTGGCCTGCTCGGGGCGCTGGGTTCGATCCTCAACACCACATAAAAATAAAATAAAGATATTGTGTCCACCTAAAACTAAAAAATAAATATTAAAAAAAGAAATAATATATATTAATTAACTGACCTTTAAAAGGTACAAACAATACAGAAATCTATAAAATAAAAAAAAATTGTCACACGTAACATGGGACAAGCAGCTGAAGCTGTCGAATTGAAGTTTAACCCCTAGTTATGTTCCTACCTATTGTCCCATCTCTTTCTCTCATCCTTAAGGGGCATTTGTTTTTTTTTTTTTTTGCTATTTTTGGTTTCCATTCTGCATGCCCTATGTGTCTTAAAAATAAAAGAAAAAGTGTTCTATTTAAGTAGACAGCAAAGTAAAATGTGTATCATGTTATTTTGGGGGGTAGGTTTCTATTTGTGGAGAGTTTCTTTTTTTTTTCTTCTTAAAAATTGCTTCTTGGCAGTGTTGGGAAAGAACAAATTGAAGCTTTCCCATTTACTTTCCACATTCTCTATAAGGAGGTCCTCCCATGTGTCCTCTCTAAATCGAGAGTGTGGTGTCAGTTTTAAGATGGAAAAGAAGACCCTTCAGCAGTGCACCTTGGTGGCATTTCCATTCTATAGCAGCTTCCCCAGTGGTGATGTGTTCTAAAAACAACTGGTAGCATTTTCTATTTATGAGTCGTAAATTACACGTGTGGTGTTTATACGCTCTCATGGTGAACTTGATGTTGAAACCAAATTATATGCTGGTGAAGGACACTTTGGCCAAATCCCACTGCATGACCCTAGATGATGTGTTATTAAACAGGCTGGCACTGAATGGCAACGTCATGCTGAGCGAATGTGCTAAGTTAAAACCACCAAGGCCAGCTCTTGGAATAGTTCTAACCTCTTGTCCATGGCTGACTGGCTGGCTGGCTGGCTGGTTGGTTTTGAAATGCCATTCTCAAGAAATTCTCACATTATGGGTGCCTTTGTTTGTATATTATTTTGCCTTATATCGTACTTGGCTATTTTGAGGCAAATCAATAGTATAATTCTTGTGAAGAAGAAATGGAGTTAATATACAGATTCAGTGGTATTCTGAATGTTAAGAACTTCAATGGTTAAAAAATTGTAGGTGATATTAAATATATCCATCTTGTTTTCTAAATCCAAAGTGAAAATCACTGGGTGGAGGGTGGTAGTGATTGTGCTGTAATGATGATAAACCATATCCCAGAACCAGTGAATCAAAATCTGCATTTTAACAGAATCCCCTTTGGTTTATATGCACATTAAAGATTGCAAAGCACTGTTCTTGAGGTAGGCAGATTTAATCACTGATTCTCTTTACCCTTTTTCCTTTGTGAACATAGGATGGCTACTGCAGCCCCAAATGTCACCTCCAGGTTATAGACTGGAAGAGATTTGAAGGGGCAGATCACTCCCTCTATTCTTGATTGTTTAGAATCAAAAGTTTTCCTAGCAGACTTCCACTGTATCTCATTGACCATCCCTAGCTGCTAGGGAGACTGAAAAAGTGGTGACCAAAAAAGGGAGAAAAGTTATGACAGTGAAGAAAGTTTTTGATAAAGAGTGCAATCAAGGGGGCAGATATCCTTAGCATATATCCTGAATAAACTTGTGTTGTCATATGCCTTAAGGTAAATCACAGATTTGGGGAAAGAAGCGTGAACTGTGAATGTAGTTCCTTGTCAACATTTTAGATTCTTAGTGTTTTAGTTTAAACCATTTGGAAAGCAAGAACACTGTCTTTTTTAATACTTCATTTTCTACACAATGGTGACCATTATTGGAAAAATTTACTTTGAATGAGTTATGTGTATGAATCTTTGCTAAATTGCATGGTGCAGATACAGTGAACTGTGTCACTAATGAGAAATTGGTCTCACTGTTTTCTATTACTTCATACTCTAATAATTTGAAATAGCTTGGTAAATGAAGTAGAAGGAGAATGAGCTAATAAGTCTATAAATAGAATCCTGTGCAATTTGTGAAAGTACAGAGGCCTTATCTCATTTTTAAAGATGAACTTTTATCTCAGGCTAGAATTCTTCTCTTTTATTAGAAACATTCTAATGACTAGGACTCAAGAATCCCATTGTTTGCTTTTCTTTCTTTGATTTAGGGGAACTGTGTTAATTTGACTGAAGCCTTGTCACTCTATGAAGAACAGCTCGGGCGCCTCTATTGTCCTGTGGAATTCTCAAAGGAGATCGTCTGTGTCCCTTCATACTTGGAATTGTATCCTTTGATTGTGACATTGTGTTGTCAGATCAGAACCCCCAAGTCAATCCTGTGCTAGTTTAATATTTTAAATCCTAGTAATAAACAAATAGATCTGTGGTATATAAACTAAGCTGAGAGCTTTAAAAAAAACTGATTTCTGGGTTATTCTTTTAGAGACTCTTGGGTGTGGCTTGCCACAGTTTGCCAGGTGCTTTTAATTATCAAGTACCACTGGTCCAAAAAAGAGGTTCTCAAAGGTGGTCCCAGACCTGCCACGTCACTTGGGAACTTGTTATATATAGAGATTATCATAACCCACCCTGACCAGCTGCCCTATCAGAAGTGCTGGAGCTGGGGCCAGTGAGCTGTTTCACCAGTCCTCCAGGGAACTTGGGTGCACCTGTAATGCTCTAGTGTAAAATGCTGCCCCACCTGTGGCAGATAAAAATCCTAGAGACACTTTACTCATATTAAAATCATCAGTCTTTAATGTTAGTTTCTACACTTGCTGCTAATTGCAGTAGAAATTGAGAGCTGAAATAATGCCGGGAGTGCAGAGTTAATGCTGGTGTTCTCCATGAGTTCCACTTAAGTTAGTCCCAATCACAAAGGAAAGAACATGGAGAGAAACCAAAATTAGAGCATCATTGTTGGAAATTTGCACTGTATTTCCTTCTTCTAAAAAGTAGGCAGACTATGGCTGAACCTAGGTTCCTGTGACAGCAGTTTTTTTTTTATATGATTAAAAAATTAAGTGATTAAAGATTCACTCTTTTAAAAATTCTTTTTATTTATACATGACAGTAGAGTCCACTTTGATATAATTATACAAGCATGGACTATCTTATTCTACTTAGGACCCCATTCTGTAGAGGTACACGATGGTGGGATTCACTATGGTGTATTCATATATGTACATAGGAAAATTATGTCATTCATTCAGGGATTCCCACTGTCAGCCTGTGGTAAGGCTGGAAGTGACAGAACCTGGCAGAGCACAGGCAGCCTGCTGAGGCCAGATGCTGGGCAAGAGGCAAGAATTTCCTAAGTCCTCCATGAGAGGAGGGGGATCCTCTCATTTGTGAGGCAGCCATGTCCTTCCATGGCCTGTAGAAAGATTCAGTGTCTCCTACCACTCAGCTTGATTCAGGGTTTCCCTTCAGGAACATTTTTCACTCATTCTTTTTAGTTGTACATAACATTAGGGTTCATTTTTTTACATAATTATAAGGGTATGGAATATAATTTCCTACAGGAGCAGTTTTGTTCATTCAGGTGAGTGTTCACATGCTTAAGACGTTTGAGAGGTCAGTTGGTAACATTTGGGAAAAGGTTTCAGTCCTATGGTTCCCCTTCTTCCCTCTTTCTACCCTTTTTCCCCCTCTCCCCCTGCTCACCCTCTCTCTGCCTTCCTCACTTCCTCACTCCTTCCTCCTTTCCTTTCCTTTCCTTCTCATACCAATTCCCCAAACCTTTTGTGAGACCTGGTAAGCAGTAGTGATACCTAGGAGCATCTGTGCATTTCTTTAGCCTTTTGTCTACTTAGTGCTCCCTTCAGAAATCTCACACTTTAGAGTGGCCTTGTTCAAAGGCTTTCATTCTCATTATCACAATGCTCTAAGCCATGAAGTGTTTTCATCCATCTTCCAATTTGTAGGCCAACACACAAATGTTAAGTGATGCCTGTTCCTCCTTGAATTATCTGTTTGCATTCCTTGACTCTCAGTTCAGGTGGGTATTTTACACTGTTTGGAAGAAAGCTAAACCTTGAAGATGAATATCCCCTAATCATGTGTGCTGCAAACAGCTTTCCTGACCTCTGAATGCTGTACATGACATTAAAAAGAGTCGGGCAATTGATTGTGAACTCCTTAAAGTTTCTCTTCTTTTAATTATTATTTTTAATTTAAAAAAGCAAATGAAAAATGTATATTTTGATGAGCTAGGGTGTTATTTTTGGAAAGTCAGCTGAAGGGCAATTAGATAGTACAGCAAAGACTGCGAAGTGCACTGACCCTAGAATGTGATTTTTGTTACTTTTTAGTTCTGTGTGGGTTTTTTTGTTTTTTTTTTTTCTTTTTGTTTTAGTTTTGGTAGACCTAAATTTGGATGTTTGGAGGAATGAACATCATTTTTTTTTGTTCTGGAGGGAAGTTCTTGGTTTGATTTCTTTCCCCCAAAATGGATTTAAATATCAAAATTTGGTGCTTATAAGAAAGTTAAAAAATGAATAGCAATGCTTCAATTAAAATAACAAAGGAGACATTTCATGTGTTTTGTTGTTTTTTTTTTTTTTTTTTTCCCAGCCCAGTCCCCTCTTCCTCCCTCTGGCTTAGAACAAAGGTATCTCCTGGATTGTTTTTACTTCTGTTTTAGCACTTGGTACTATTTATCTCTTTATAATGGGATAGCCTTGGGGCCTTTCTTGAACAGTAATAATGACTTCATTTAGCACTGTGGTAAATGATACACAGCCCATTACATTCACCACTTCCTTCTTTTAAAGTTGACCTGAGGATAGCAAGAAATTTTGCTTGACTGTGAAGTTGAAAGTCAAAAGCCTATTTCTATCCCCACTCTTACGGGTATATTAAGTGTAGAAATGAGATCATTTAGGATAGCTGCTATGAAACTTTGAGAAGATTCTTAGATGCACAGCTACCTGATAGAGTTTATGGAGAGGCCTGTGGCAAAAGAATGACTTAAAAACTACTAATAAAGTGCACATAACTTAGAGCTTGCTTTTGTATTTTGGGTAACAGTCCAATATCAAAGGGGAATTTATAGTGACTTGGATTATTAGACAGCACTTGGTAATCCTGTTGTTTTATAAAGATTTATACTAATCAGTGGAATCATTTCATTTACAGTGAATTTATTGTAAGCAAAACATTAAAAATGAAATATCCAGTTGAGATATAATTAGGTTCACCATAGAACATTCTCCCCAAGGTATGACTAAATGGTATAGTATATTAAAAATGTTCTTTTTTATTGGATAGATGAGGAACAATAAGGTAGAATAAAAGGAGTTAGAGAGTCACATTGAAACTTGATAAGCTGAACACATAGTTTTCTTGTACACATATAGGTTAAAAATGGAACTGGTGGACGTCTTCCTGTGCCTTTAAATTCTTCTATAGTGCTATGCAAAGGCTGTGTATGTTGGGTAGGATTTTAAAATGATGCTGCTGCTACTGTTAGAACACTGTTTGAGGTCAATAGAATGGAGGTGTTTTTTCTTTCCATTTTAGAAAAGAAACCAAATGTATCTGCTGTTTGATATGATATGATTAGAGTGTGCATTACCTTGTACCTGAGGACTAACTTGATTCCAAGGCACCAGATCCACTAATAAGTCTGGTGATACAGGTCCTGTTAAGAACTGAGACAGGTAGAAATTAAGTGGGTCACGTTGTGCCAGATCACGGGAAGATGCATTTGGGAGAAAATAAGGGAAGTGGTATGAGGGGGAAGAAAGAAATGGAAAGATAGATATTTTTATCTTTGGTGATAATATTGAATTCTGATCCAACCCATTTTTTTGTGTTGGAGAAAGGATGATGTCTGATTATTTTGAACATCTTTGTTGTTATTTTAAGACAAAAGCATGCAAACTGAATAATGACAACTAAATTCACCTTGGCTTTTGCTGCCTTTTAAGGAAATGTTAAATGATCTAGCACTGTTATCTTATTTTAATGGCTGCAGTGTTATATAGTGTTAAGGTCTCCTTTAGAATATACTGTTGTATCTTGTAGCTGCTTTTTTAATGAAAGACAAGACTAACATGGCTATAGTTTAAATTCTATTCAACACATCACCAGATATCAAGTATTGATTTATTTAAAAAATGAAATGCTGCTTTCTCTTGGAAATGTGATTGAATATTTATAAAACTTGATTAATGATCATCCAATTGGGCTGGTAGAAGGCTGGTTTGAAGGTGTTTTTAATGGGCTGAAGCACTGTTGATGTAAAAATAAAATGTTCTGTTCTTTTCTGTGCAGTTTGAGTAAGTCACGTCCTTGCTTGCATTAACTGTTGCTGACACAAGAGTTTGCATTTCTCTCTACCATCTGTCAATAAATTAATCAGTTGCATTTTGTTCCCTTGACTCTTTAAAGAGGGCAGGGAGTTGTTTGTGGGGGTGTTGTGTCCTATGTCATTGGCCTTTGTTTGAGGCATCAGAGCAATGCTACCCAAAGTCTGGTCCGTCAACCAACTCTTTGATTTCTAAGTGCTTTATTTCAGCTGACCCTTTTTTTCCTTATGGTGAGACTTTCTCAGAGAGGGCAACACTAGTGTACTGATTTTCATAGTGGCACAAGTTCCTTTTTGTGGTGTTGGAGATTGAACCTGGGGCCTTGTATATATTAGGCAAGTGCTCTACCACTGGGCTACATCCCCAGCCCTTTTTATTTTGTATTTTTAGACAGGGTCTCACTAAGTTGCCCAGGGTGGCCTGGAACTTGGGATCCTTCTACCTCAGCCTCCCAAGCAGATAGGATTATAGAGGGACACCACCATGGCTGGCATGTTACCATATATTCTTGAAACAACATTTTAAGTGTGCACTGTTTCAGTATTATTTGATAGGTATGTTATGTGACTTGGAACTGTTATGTGACCTTGAAGAAACACTTGACCCCCTTCAATCACCCTGTTGCCCACCCTATTGCTAAGTGTCTTTGTATCAAATAATCTCTAACATCGTTGTGCTTTTGGTTAATGAACCAATTCATTTATGTTGTCTTGCCCAGTCATTGAGTAGGCTAGCAGTCCAAGTATGAAATATGCCTGAGGGTCCCATGGTAGTCACAATTTAAATCTAGGTTGTAGCATTCTCAGTTTCTAACATGGAAGCTTCCATCAAGGGTTCTTAACCTTTTTTTGTACCTTGGGCTCCTTCTAGATCTGCCTGGCAAAACCTGAGAGTTCCTTCTTAGAAACATGTTTCAAAATATATTAAATAGGATTACAAGAAAATGAGTTATTAGTTTTAAAAAACTTATGGTTTAATATTTGGGCTGCTTTATTAACTTGTTACATAGCTGAATTGAGTGGTGGGTCAAGTTCCATAATTTTGGAATTGTAATAAGCATAAATATTTATAAAATCCATAGGAACTAAAATGTGATAAGGCATCTGATTCTTCTTGTTGAGAAAGTCATGGTTATTACCTGTGTTCATGCTTAAGATAAATGCTAAATTTCAGTGAGAGGTTAGTGAAGAGAAAGATAAAAATGTTGTCCCCTCTAAGTTTTTGGATGTACAGAATTCTGTCCATACCCCAGGCTAAGAACCCTTGACCTTTATGCTTCCACTGTTTGATTGGATTTGGGTGGTGAGGAAAGTAGTTGAGTCCCTTCTCCCCTCTGTCAGAACCTCAAATTAACTCTGGCAGGTCAGTTTTCCTCAGCCAGAACCATTTAAAATCTCAATTACCTGGTGCAGTCATTCCACTGATTTCTGTTTTACTCATTATTTAAAAAATGAAAATAGAACATGAGCAAGAAATATCCCAGTGCTTTTGGAAAGCTGTTTGAGTACTCTTGGATGTGATTTCCCTGGGAAATCAGATGATTAATGTGACTAGACAGGTATACTTATCTCTTGTATCTGGGGGTCCCCGGGATGCTCAGGCTGGCTCATTAATGTAGACAGTTTTCCTGTGCAACAACCAACCATGTGATCATTTCAGTAAGCAATTCCTTCATGATGAAGCATTAGGGAATAGGCTTTTCTCTGCAACTTTGTAACAGAATAAATGAATCAGTGTCCCTCCTGGGTAAAAAGGCAGGTTGAGCAAGCCTGTTTTGAAAGAAGACCTCTAGTATCCAAGAGAGGGAGGTTTGGGTGGTCTCTTCACCCCATTTCCCCAACATGGAATATCCACCATAGTAAAGACATGCAAGGGGCAGGTCTCTGCAGACATTGACTTTGACCCTAGAGATAACCTTATTAGAGATCATTTCTAGTTCTACCTATTAGGAAATCCTTGTGTCTTGACTTTGTTCTAAAATCATTTTATATCTTGGTTAATGATGGTGGTAACTTACATTCATGCCAAGTGATGCTGACTAAACAGCTCTGTACTATATTTCATATCATTTACTTTCTAGATATTCTCCCTTGCCCTGCTCTCTGTTTTTGTCTGGGTTTAATTTGCTACCTGAAATTTTCCTCCATCTATCCTCTCAATGCTAAGAGGAGCTGTCAACATATCTCCTGCATTGGCTGTACCTTTCACACTCAGTGTTTCAATTTTTCTCCAGTCTTATTATATAATCTTCACCCCATATCTCTTTATGTCTGTTGAAGGGTTTCATGCCTGCAGAGATGGTGTGTCTTGGTAGAAAGGAAGAGACATTTAGATTTTGGTTCAGAGGTGAAATGATTGGATTGTGAGAGCTGTAACCTCATTAGTGGATCAATCCATTTGATGGATTAATAATTTGAATGGACTGCTGGGTGGTAACTGTAGGCAGGTGGGGCATGCCTAGAGGAAGAAGATTATTTGGGGTATGCCTTTGGGGGTTATGTTTTGTCTCTGGCTACCCAGGCTCATGCTGTGCTTCCTGGCTTCCATGAATTGAGAAGCTTTCCTCTGTCAAACCTTTCTTCATGATATTCTGCCCCATCTTAGTCCCAGAGCAATAGAGTTAGCCAACAATGGACTGAACCTCTGAAATAGCCCCAAATAAGCATTTCCTCCTCTAAGTTGTTGTTGTCAGGTATTTTGGTCATAATGACAAGAAACTAACACACCAGGTGACCAGAATCAACATCCAAGTGACAGGTGGATATCCTGTGCCTCCAAATGTGATAATTTGAGAAGGATCTGTCACTTCTTATGCAGTGTTTAGCTAAGAATGCATTATCTGAACCCAGCCATGAGGAAACCTTAGACACCAGATGAGAAACAGTCTATTAAGAAAAAGTCCCAGTGCGCTCTTCAAAGATATGTGTGTTGCTGGGGATTAAACCAAAAAGAATGTGAAAAATTCTCAGATTAAAGGAGACTAAAGAGGCATGACAAGTGTCATACCTGATCCTAAACTAAGTCCTATATTGGAGGGGAGAATGCTGTAAAGGACACTTTCATGAGACTATTGTCAACTGGCAAATTAGAATACAGACAGTAGTCTCAATATAATACAGGTGTTGTGGGTCTGGGGTTGTGGCTCAGTGGTAAAGTGCTTACCTAGCATGTGTGAGGCACTGGGTTTGATTTTTTAAAATTTTTTAATGTTTATTTTTTA